GTGCGGAGGTCATTTCGGTGGGAGGGAGAGGGTCGGCTTGCGCTGGCTGTCGCTGAGATGAAGTCTATGTAGAATTATTCAGGTACTTCGTACTGATGAAGAAGCGCAGCTTGTTCTGCTGCCATGTGGATTGGAGAAGGTTGGTTTGTTGCGGGGAACTAGGCGGAGAAGATTTCGGAGTTGGCGTTGGATTTATCTACCAGGGCATGCATGATTTGGAGAGACTAGATCGCCAGTCAAATCATCACTGAGGCCTGCAGCCGTGGACAGACAATTGCACGTTGCGCTGCAAGAACACCAGAGGCGAAAATCTATTATTGCAGGGTATCGCAAGCCATACGATCCCGTCGCCGGTCTTCTCGTCGAGGAATCACATTTTTCAATCCCACCAAAGTACCATTAGGAACGACGAACAAACAACAGAAAGAAAAACGCCAACCAAAAACCACCCAGATCAACCTCTCCGTTGTCCCCGAGCCCTCTGCACCGTCGCCTTACCGCGAGCAAGACCGACACCTCTACCGCGCTGGCCCCTCGAGCGGAACATGGGTGCGTTTCTGCAGACGTCAGTACTTAACCAAATACTAGAGCATTGGAGCCGATAATGGAACAGTGGAGATGTAGATACCTCAGCATATCCGGCACGATGAAGAACTTGACGTGGCTTCCGCGAATGTAGACCTGGTCCAGGTGGGACACGCGACCATCACGAGCAGTGACCGTGATATCCTTGAGCTGAACGTTCATGTTATCCTCGGCTGGGCAAGTCAGTCAGCATAATCTCTTAAGACCACCAGGCTATATTGATGGGCAACGAACCCTCCAAGAGCTTTCCTCGATACACCACCCCCGAAGTAATCTCCAGCGTTACGACGTGGCCCTGCAGTCGCAAAGTTAGCTTGGATGCATTAATCTCCATGGACGCAATAGAGTATAGCGAACCTGGGCTTCATTCAAGAGCTTGATCGGGATACCGATGGTGCTGGTCAACTTGCCCATCTTGAAGGATCGGATGCGATTCAAGCGAAGTTACGCGAAAAAAAGCGGACGGTCGGCGCGAGAATGGATTGAAAGGGAACGGACGAAAGGGAGTGTAATTTATTCCAGAATTCGAAGCAGACCGTTCTCGAAGACTGCAAAATCCCGATTTTTAATGAAGAGGAAAGAATGCGGCGCCGATGAACTGGAGTCGACTGGGTTGAAGCTTAGCGGAGGTCCAGTCAAGGCGGAGAAGTAAGTTGTGCGGCTCTGCTGTTAATTTCTCCGTACATCAATTCGAGATGGTGATCTTTGTCTTCATCTTCATCAAGCAATCTTCAGTATAGCGACATGGACTGTCCTCATTGATATCTTGCCTCAATCATGAAAACATGAAATCTACTACCACCTTCACTCTCTAAATCCACCACTTTTGGTCCACTCATCCAATTGACTCCAACGTTGCTCATCCTCCTCCATCTTATCCTCCTATACACAAGAGCTTCAGACCTTCAGCAGAAATGGCCAGCACACCCAACACCAACCTCCGCGGCTTCAACCACGCAGTGCAAACCCTCCTCCGAAACCCCTCCCAGTTCCTCCCCCACCTCACAATCCCAACCTTCACCCACCTCCCCGAACACCTCGGTCCGCATCTCCACAGACAACCCACCACAACCACCATCAGCCCCGGCGAAAAGCCAGCGCCGGTAGCAGCAGCAGCAGCAGCAACGAAATCACCCACGATCCGCGCCCTCGTCCTCGACAAAGACAACACCCTCTGCCCGCCCAAGACAACCACCTTCCCTCCCCAGATCCTAGACAAGCTCTCCGCCCTCCGCACCTCGCCCACCTCGCCCTTCAACCAGTCCACAGCCCCCGACTCGATCCTCATCGTCTCCAACCGCGCAGGGAGCCATCCGCGCTTCGACGCCGAGGTGCGAGAGATCGAGGAGCGGTTGTCGTCCTTGCGGATCCCTGTCTTCCGATTGCCCGAGGGCAGTGAGAAGAAGCCGTTTTGTGGAAAGGAGGTCGTGGATTGGTTTCGGGAGCGGGGGGTTGTGACGCGCGCGGATGAGATCGCTGTTGTTGGAGATCGGTTGGGGACGGACGTGCTCATGGCGGTTATGATGGGGTCTTGGAGCGTCTGGTGTCGTGATGGGGTTTACGAAGGCGTAGATCCGAACAAGGGGAGACCGAATATGAATATCCTCGAGAGGATGGAGATTTGGGTCGAGAAATATCTGAGGGAATCTCGAGGGCTGAAGGCGCCACTGCCAAGGGGATGGGAGAGCCAGTAGAGAGGCCCCTCGTCACTTGTACTATATTCATTTGATACCCGTCTACACTAGTTATATGTAGAGTAGATATACTCGAGAAGGCCTCGTGCCTCCAAGTCAACAGACATTGTACACAACATGCATGCCATTCTTGGTTGTGATCCTAAGGTGAATTGGCGCTGAAGCCAGGCAGGATCTTGTCTGCCGTTTTCCTGGCACCCAACCAACCGCCTGTGCGACCTTTCTCGCGAAAAGAATCCAAATCAGGATATCTCAACTCTACCAAGGGGTTTGGCGTAACAGATGGCTAGGCATTGGCTAAGTTACCCAGGACTGCACCACGGGAAAACCGCATGCATGCGAAGAATGATGAATCAAAGTCAAAGAAACAGATGTGAGTAGGAGACTCAAGCTCAAGAACCCCAAAGCAATCACACCATCACAAAGTAAAAATGCAAACAATTCCTGACCCACCGACCCGGAGAAGACCAAAAACAATGGAAGTAAAAAATCCCAGCAGATATCGCCCGTTTTGCTCACTTCCTGGCATAACCACGTTAAATGACCCTGACCATGATCAAAAAAGAAATCAAGAAAAGAAAAAAGGGTCAGGGATAGTAGGGAAGAAAGCCAACACGAATTGTTTGGCAAAACATGAAGAACACGATGTGTTAAAGGCGTCAGGACCAGCCGCAAGATAGAAGGGTATAAATACAGAAGAGAAAAATGAAAAAGAAAAAGGGAGAAAATATCGATAGCAAATATCAAAAAATGTGACGATATAAGCTTTTATTCACCTGCACCGAGGGCAGACGCGGCAAGTTGCAGTTTGAGGAAGACAGCATTGTTGCCGTCCAACCGGAATGTCATATTGACAGTCCATTTAAATGTCTCCTTGGCATTGGAAACATAGCCAACCTTGGTAAAACTCATGCAGGCTTGAGAAAAATAGCCACCTCGCTGCTTGGGTAACTATCAAATGGAGAGGACGACAGTCGAGCCATTTCAGTCAGAGTGTGAAAGAGCAATCGGGGGCAGGGCGTTCATGATCCCGGAGCTAATGCATTGAGATCAACACCCTCCATGCTTTGATAATCGGTTGCAAGGAGCGGCGAAGCCTGGCCAGACAAGGTCTGCATGGACAGGTCGAATGTGTTACCTTCAAGCCCCATGGTGGTGGGGACAGAGTAATCCATGCTCTGCTTAGCGAAAATTCCATTCATAACCATCCCATCATCGGCAAAATTGGCCTGCTGGTCGGTCCCCAGGGCGTACATGTCCTGCGGGGTATGCGCCATGTTGGACAAGGGAGGCGAATGTTCCGCGATCATAGGATCGGCATGGCTGACATTCGAGTATGGAGAAGCCTCATGCCCCATGTTGGAGGAATCCACCGCAGGTGGCATAAAAGGCAGGCTGAACGAAGGGCCCATGTGCGTAGCGACTGGGGTGGACTCGCCAGTCGCACTGGTAGCGAAGATGGACGGGCTCGCAAAGTCGGACGGAGAGGCGGTCGTCGCAGCAGACATAGGATGACCCCGAGGATCAAAACCATACGAGGCAGAGGTGTCGATGCGCAGATTCAGAGCTAACGGTTGAGCCGACTGCGGGACAGGCGCAAAAATCCCCGAGTCCGCGTTGTGGTATGGGGCCGGAGTCTGGGACATGGTGTAAGACGGGAAGTGAGACATCTGCATGGCAGAAAAATCAACAGCAACCGGGACGGAACGACTCCTTTGCCGCTTGTGTCCGCGAGCGACCGGAATGTTCAGGGTCGACTGATCCTGATACATGTTCATGAATGCAGGCGCGAATTGGTTTGGCTGGGAGGCGGGACGCTGAATGAAATGAGGCGACATTGGCGGAGCCATCGCAAGGTTGCTGTACGCCAGACGGTTCTGGAAAGACTCCAGCGACACCAACTTGGCCAATTGGACACTAAGAACCTTGGGATGACCTCCCAGATGGTGCACCAGGATCTGGCTCGCTTGCTGATCCTCCGTAAAGTCACCGCATTGGTAGAATCCACCAGAGTTAGAAGAATCCATGTAGAACAACGGAGGACGATTGAGTTCCACAAGGAGGCCAGCGGGCCTCGCGGGAGCGCCGTTGGGCTGGGCGTTGTGATCACCCGACTCGAGCGTGATGTTCTTGATGTAGGAAAAGGGGTACTCGATTTTGTATCCGGCAGAATCGTTGTTGATGTAATAAGTCATGCAGGCCTTTTCGGGGGAGTAGAAGACAACCAGGTCCATAGCGTTTTGCCCGATGCGCCGCCAGCTACCGATGGTCAAGGAACGGCAGGTGAAATGATGAATGACTTGGGCTACATCAGCAATCTCCGCGATAGCGAGATGACTTGAGTTGAACTCACCAACTTTCCCTGAGGGCGCAGCCTCGTTCGGGTAAGCACCGTTGGCTCCATAAGCACCTGTGCGCCCGAATGGGTCTCTCGCACCTGCTTTGCTAGGATCGAATTGCATCGCCAGATACTGTCTCATCGACTCGGGAATTGAATCACAGCCTTCGCCGGTTTCTATACTCTTTTTCGCGAGCATTTTGATCTTGGCTCGTCTGTAGGCGCGGTTAGTGCTTACAATCGAGCAGGCCTGGATCTATCCTCCACCAACCTGTTCTGGAACCAGATCTGAACAGAACGCTCGGTCATGTTGATATCCTGAGCGATCCGCTCGCGCGTGGCTGCCGTGGGTGTAGGGTTCTTGTTGAACTCAAGTTCCAGCGTGACTAGCTGATCCTGGGTTGCCCGTTGCCGCTTATTGTTTTTCTGCTGTTGCGTCAGAGTGCTTTTCCGAGGCGGACGGCGCGGTGCCGATGTTGAAGGGGCCGTGGTGACACTGGAAGTGGAGGGAGAAGGGGTCGAAGCGGCCGAAGATGACGAAGCCGTGTTCGCAGCGGTCGAGGTTGTCGACATAGTCGACGGGTCGGGCGTGTCTGTCGAAGACATTGTTTGCAGAGTATAACTTGAAGTATATAGAGTGGAAGGGAAATGAGATATAACCAATTGCTCCGATGGTTAGAAGGGAAGGGGAGGGAGAAAAATGACGATCCGGCCGACACGGTAGGAGAAATGGAGAGGCAAGGATGTTTTCTTTCGAGTCTCTCAAAGCAGCGTCAAGCGCGAGAGGATTTCAAGGTGATTCAATGAAAGGCAGCGGTATGGGAGTAATCGGAATCAAGGACAGAGTTGTTTCCAAAACCACAAGCCCAGGTGGATGGTATAGATAATGGCGTCGCAGAAGCGTCAAGCTGGACGGCGAGAAATGGGGGAGCGTCAAAAAGGGTAGCTGGCCTAGGCAGCTTATAATGATCAATGGAATCCTTAAATCTTCGCGACAGGGCAGATATCTTGGATGTAATTGTCAGGACGATAAAGGAGCGTAGCGAGATGACAATCCGAGGATGTGGACGAAGAGAGCGGATTCCAAGGCCGTCGTAAAGGAGTGGAACGAACGACCAGGAAAGTCAATAAAAGAGGTTGGAAGTGAAAAGAGTGGTTTCAAAAGAGTGAAAGAATGGAAGAAACAAAAGAGTGACCCGTAAAGAAAAGAGAGAGGGAAAGGAAAGGAAAAGGAAGGCTGACAGATGACTGGGGGGGAGGACGAGGGAAGAGAGAGGAGAAAGAAGAACGAGTGAGAGAGAGAGCGAAACAAACGGGTGGAGGAGGAGGAGGAGAGCCCCAGTAGAGTCTAGACAAGGACGAGTTTGAGTGCCTGAGGTTTGCCGTCAGTCAGGAGATGGAACTGCCTAAAGGGGCCTAGTGTGGCAGGCTGTCCTGTCTTTCATTACCTTACAGAATACAGACCCAGGTGCTGGTAGGGTACTTCTTTCGTTCTCTCCGTGGGGCGTGCATGCTGTGTACATCCAACATAACATGTAACGGTAACCTAACTGTCACGTATTTTTTCTCCTTCCTGTTTTACTTTCCGCCGGGAGCCTGAGGCTCAAAGTTCCTATCTAAGGATTCCATGCGTATTGACGGTTGGCAGATCGCAGGCTGGACTGTTGATCGTCTGGTGGTTATCAAAGTCCACAGGGATATCCCTTTCCTACCAGCAATCTGATATATCATCTATTATTAAGTCTCGAATTGATGCAGGTTGCCTGATTGATTCAATTCCCTTGTACGGAGTAGACTCTGACCTTCTCCGTACCGTCCCACAGGAAGAAAAGGATAAAAATCAGGATGGCGGTCGCGTCGAGTAGGGGGCCCAGCAAACGACCAGTCACCATCATGAATGTGTTTTGGCCCCTGCATCCGAACTGCATCTGCTGCCCAATGCTTCTTATGATGCATAAGTAGAGGGGTATGCGTGGATGAGAACTCCGTACCTCTCGACCTAGTACGGAGGACGTACTCACTAGGTACGTTGTCACTATTAGCCTATTATTATGCAAGCTACACACGAAGTTCTGATAATAGTTCCCCGTATCGATAGTAACTCCGACTAGAGAAACTAGCCTGCATTTACCTACCGAATGGCAGACAGTTTCACAGGCTATGGCGGACGAGTACGAGCTTTATGGTCTATTCTTGGCCTCTGGTTACTTGTTGTCATCAGTATCACAACTCTGGAGGTTGACGATCCCAAGGAGTACGAATAGCTCAAGTATTCCGTTTGCCGCATGTGATACATCCAAGTCTAACGCCCAACGTGGTGCATCGTTGTCTGTACAACAACGGGTCGGGCCACTCCTTCATCTGGAGCCTTGAAGCACGTTGTCGTCAGGTGTTGGAAACAGGGGACACTCGGAGTCCGCGGTATTCTCATCAATTATGTACACGGAGTACTAGTTGCAGAAAAGGAAAGAAAAAGACAAAAAAATCAGATCCCAACAACTATGGACTATTTTGGAGTATTCCATCAGAATTCGATCAGTGAGTGGAGCAGCCACTTGACCTTTGCCGACCTCCAAGACTCCAACGGTACTAAGCAAGGTCCTAAACATCAAGACCCCCATTCCAAGCCTCGAACACAATCGAAAACCAAGACGGAAAGCCAAGGAGACTGCCGCCGTTCTGGCTGTTACAGTTCGCCGGTTTCCAATGCAACCACTAACCAACGTATGTGGTTTCAGGATGGTCGTGCCACTGGACAAAAGTTTCCAGGACCGAAAATCCTGTCTGTCCTTGGACCCAAACCTTCTTTTTTTTTTTTTTTTTTTTTTTCTCAGTTACTATTGATAGTACCCCGTACCTAAGGACGACAGGACTCAGGAGTAGGAGTCAGGAGTACGATTCGCGGACCAGAACCTGAGTAAGTCCGTCGTCCTTGCCGGGAAGGGGTTAGTTAGGCCATGTCGAATCCTTGGAATCAACATTCGATCCAGGTACCCGCCCTCCCTGACCCAGCCAACAAGCAGCCACAGTGCTCATTGGTCAGAATTCCAATGACAGCGCCAAATAGTAAGGTACCCAAGTCTTACTATTGGATGTTCTGCTGTGGGGGGTGCCGCCTGTCCGGCACTCATCATTCATGTTGTCGCTTAGATAACGCCGTCCATAGTGGAGGTAAGGTACACAGAGCCCATACACATAAAACTACTCCGTATATCAGGTAGCGTCTCAGATCGCTACAACCGACGCAAGCAGCAAGGAACCAGAAACATCAAGCGACAGACTCAAACACTCTATTCAGTGATACCTATGTCTGTACGGAGTAAGGTAAGTGGTAACATAACACACAACACCTCATGGTCCCTCATCGATGATCCGTGCGCCCTCTATCCGATGGCTGACCTTCTGATTGGCCCAACCCACCTCTAGCCACCCGCATCACGATCCATCGTAACCCCTGGAACCCCAGCCGCTAGACCACTCTGGGCTTAACTACAGCACTTCCAGTCATCCTGTCCTGCCACCACACCACACCTATCTGGGTCTCTCGTGGAGGCTTCCTCGGATACGGATCCAGTCAGTCACACACTCACACTCACAAAGTTACTCCGTACAGTCCCTCGATTCTCAGTTCAAGCCTGTGGCTTTATGGCTTAGTCCAACTCCGACCCGAGTTCCCGAAGAACGACACTGCCAAGTGCCAGCTTTCCAGCTTGGCCAGCATTGTCCTTGTTTTGCCATAGGAAAACACTGCCAGCAAAAGGCCATCGATGACATAAGTGTAAAGTTTGGCTTACATTGCCCGTTTACTGGCACATCCCTCGTCAACTGTACCTTGCACCTCTACACACTGCCAGTCGCCACTGGAGTCGACCTCCATCACACTCTTGGTAGTTTGCTGCTTCTTACCGCGGCAACAGTCTCCCTCTGCCCCATTTGGTTCCAATAGTCTTTGGGTCTGTGCTTTGGCAGATGCCGACCTCGATGACGCTTCGGGATTTCGGCTTGGTCTACGATAGGAATAGGGAAGCGGAATCCTGGCAGTCTCCATACAGATTCTGTCAGTTACTCCGTAAATACTCCGAGAACAAACTCGAGTGAACATACTCCATGGAGAAAACAAAAGGACACAGTAATCGTCATATTCTATCGAGACACACACGGTCAACAGTGGGTATGAATATACTGATCTCAAGTTCATGTACAGTTGTGCAGGAATGGTATACAACAGTAAGAGCCAACAAACGAAAGAACGGACTGGTATCCCGGGGTATACGGTGCCAACGCCATGACGCTCTATGAAGCCAAAAAGTGGAACAGAGAAAAACAAAACACAAGGGAATCATTTGAGGTGGCCCTTTCGAATGGCTCCAAACCCCTTGGAAAACAACTCCTGAATTTCGACTGATCGGCGCGGCATGCTCGTCCCCTCATCTTCCGTCGCGTGTCCAGAGACATCCCTGCTGGAACCATTCAACTCGCTCAGATCAATTTCTTGCGTTTCGACCTGGCTAGAGCCGGTCTTGGTCATGACTCTGGGCCGTGCCAGAAGCTCTTGGACCTGTTTCTCACGCGCCTCCATCTCCGCCGCTTCCCGAGTCAGCTCGAAGCTCGACTTCTTCTTGCCATGATCCCAGCCTTGCTGTAACTCGGATGCGGCGGCCTCTTCGAATCTCTTCCGGATTTCCAAGTCCTGCTCGTACTCTTGGAAGATGTCGACGTCTGTGGGAAAGAGGTTTGCCCTGATCGCGCTCACAGACACCTCGAAGACAACAACAGCTACAACCGTAAGGAAGAGAACAGCCCAGAAAGCCAGGTCGTGGCCGGAATGCAAGATGAAGTTGCCCCGGACGTGATAGATGCCATCACCAGATTTGACATTGTACTGGCGGGAGAGAATCAGGTTCCACAAGTACCATCCTCCAACTGAAATCACGATAACGATCAAAGAAAGATAGGTCTTGTTATGGACCTCCAAGGCCTGTAGTTTTGTGTTGATGACGATGACGCAAGCGGAGAAGGTGAGAAGCCCGGCCGAGAAGATGTCGTTTCCGGTGTCTGTGAAGAGGACGTTTCCGAAAAGTCCATACATGACAAAAAAGACAATCATAGCTTCGCAGGTGGCCATGAAAGTCCACCCAAGGTAGAGCTTGATGTTGAACCCGCCATGACGCTGACCTTTGGTGTACAACTCGGGAACAGCCAACAGCGTGGAGGCAGACAAGTCTTTGGTGAATATACCAAGGAATATGACAGCGAGTGACGTGAACAAAGTATTAAACATACTCAACCCCCATGGCTCGTACAAGCTGGTTCCAGTGTAGCCATTCCAGCGCTGATACAGCGCCTGGGTCAAGTAAAACAGCATTTCCTTCCAGAACGTACCAAGCGTGTATTTGCAGGCTCGGATGTAATTCCACCGCCCATGAACAAGAAGTAGCTTTAACAAGAATCTAAACTGGGCGATCGAGTAGTCGGAGATTCGAGCTGCTTGCAAGCCTTCCTTGCCTGTGATACCAATTCCAACATGGGCCTCCTGAATCATGGCAATATCGTTGGCACCATCGCCAATCGCAAGAGTGACAGAGTCCTTGACTTGAAGCCGGATT